TCCCTTTTCCCAATTCCTTCTCCAAAATCAATGCTGAGCATTCCACTATAAGGTTTCAGCTTAATTTTCTCTCCTGTCAAATACATTGCTCCCGATTAATATCAACAAGAGAAGATAATGGGCCAAAAAGGTGGCGGTGAAAAGTAACATAGTATTGGTCAACCTTGACGATATGCAATGACTTCCTCCCCAAGAAGTAAAAAGCTAGTCGACAATATTGTTGGGCCAGCACCACCTGAGCCAGCAGTGTAATAATAGAACCTAATAATAAGAAAACATGTTTGTAGTTATAATTGCAGATGACTTTTGAGAAATATAAGAATAAAAGGAGATTGACAAATAAATTGGACTTTTGCTCCAGTCAGCAGCCAGTTATCAAATTACAATTAATCAAGTCATTACAGTTTATCCAAGGCAAGCCATATAGACGATTGAGGAAAATAAATTACCTCAGCCTCTTTGGTTCACCCTTGCCTTCACTTTTGGCTGCACGAACCAGCTCCGCTGCCATCACTGTGACATTGGTAAATAAAATATTGATGTCTGAAACTGAATAATTGTCCCCCAGCCAATATATAAAACAAGATAAAGCCCATACAGGATGGCATTAATACATATAATGCCACACCACAGTCATATTAAAATATTGGCAAAATGCAAATTTCATAACTAATAGGTACCATCAGAGAGCACCCTACGGGTAAAGTATGATACAATGTTCAGATTTTGATACAATTAACCCAGAAAAAAAATAGCTAATTGTGCAATATGTAGCCCTTTTGAAATTCTTAAACAGCTTTACAAGGATAATGCAACAGAACCGTTGCTCACTCCAGGATAGATCCCTCCAGTTGTTATAGCTGGAACATTTGCATCCATTGCCTTCTTCATGTACGATTTTGCACGCATTGCAAAAGTTGTATCATCACAGACATCGAGGTACGCTGTCTGTTTTTTAAAGGCAAACAATTAACATCACCCAAAAACCCAAAATGGCATGAAAAGAAAATAAATAATAAAAAAAGACAATGGCCCGAAAGATCACACACCAGATATATAAAAAAAAAGACTGTTACCTGTTTCTCACCTTGTTCCGGATAGCGGCTTCAAGAACATTGCACCCATTAGCCTGCTGAAATGGCCCGGCAGTATGAACCACGAGATCCACATCTAATGCACAGCCAAGTTTCGTAAATTATAGAAATTCTTTTGTGATCTAAAAAATAAAGGAAACAGGAAATCATTGCCCATGTAATTTGGAGAACAAGTAACAATCATGAGAATTACAGACCCTTTAGAGCTGCTTCCAGTGATTTACTGTCGTTGATGTCGACTTCCGAGAATTCAGAATTTTTGCCTAATTTGTTCACAATTGCAGCACCTTTATCCCTGCTCGAGCGATCGAATTTTTTGAAATTCAGCTCCTACTTCACAAATGCAACTCAACAAGTGCTAAAGGAAACAACCAAATATTGTCAAGAGTAGGCAACCCAAAAGTAAATGTAACATCACCAGGTAAAATCAATCTATCAGCTACCAAATTATGTTATTAAACAAACACATTTTGTGTTTGAACCGCAACATTAGAAACCCCAACATCCAATAGTACCAATATTTTTAGCAGTCAAATATGCAATAAAAAAACATAAAACTGTCTTCACCAAAACAATAATCCAAACACTGAAATACAGAATACAGGAACTGAAAAACACCCACGCAAGCACATTTAATCACTATTTAAACAATTTTTTTTTTCTTGGAAGACACGAACAAGGGCAGGGTTAGCAAATCGCCATTTGCGAACAAACAAGGGTCACCTGTTCCGACCACCTACGATGATCCGAAGATCAGGGCAGAATTTGGATAGGGCAAGGGCGGTAGAGCCTCCGACTCTTCCGGTGCCGCCGAGTATCAGAACCCGCGAATTCTTAACCTTTTCCGGCAGGTCAACTCGCTCGATGCTATCACTGCTGCTTTTCCGTTTACCAGTTTCTCTTGCGAGCGCCATAAGTGCCGTGCTTCTGGCCGGACCGAAGCAGAAGGTCGCCATGTTTGATTCTCTTTATGTTTACCAGTTCCTCTTTTCCCTCTAGTTTCTGGCCTTGTGCAGTTTTATCAGTTTATCGCCAACGATGGTTATGTGGACTTCTTTTGGAAACTCGATGGTCGCTAAGTCAATAATAGAATTTAGAAATTAAATTGAAAAATATAGTGTTATAAACAATTAGGTGGAATCTTACCACTATTAAAACTTATCATTGTATAATTATATTAATATTGTGTTAAAATGTGTGCCCAACTTTGCCTATAAAAAGGCAACAAATGTAGTGCATTGTGATGTGCACATTTTGAGTAAAGGAAGAAGAGAAAAGAAAGCAGCTTATAATTAGTTCCGGTTTTTATACATTGTATTCTTTATATTCCTCGCATTTTATAACACGTTATCAGCACGAGCGCTCTGCCCGGTCAAGAAAGGTAGGATATATATACATATTATCATTATTCTTGACAAGTTAGGCTCTGCCACAGTCAAGGATATATATACATATTGCTATTATTTTTGACAAGTTAGGCTCTGCCACAGTAAAAAATATATATATATATTAGTATTATTCTTCACAAGTTAGGCTCTGCCAAAGTCAAGATATGTATACTAAATATGATATTATATACACATTACCATTATTATTGGCAAATTAGGCTATGCCATAGTCAATAATATGTGGTGATATGTTATTATTATATTTGTTTATGAATTATTATTCAAGTTATAATAAATGTTATTACTTATACTTAACACCCACAAAAATGGCTTACCCAGTAATGTGGCGTGAAATTTATAACTGATTATTCTTGTACCCACCGAAAGATTTATCGAGTAGTGTGGAGTAACATTTTTATTTGATTTGCTATTTATTAAATTG